CAGTTTCAGGATATCATCAAACTTTGGCTCGATACCCTCATCCTCCATACGGAAGCTTATCTTCACCCACTTCCTTTGCAGTCGAGTAGGTAGACGTCTTGCTATTACTTCTAGGATAAAACTCGAGTTGAGGTCACTCATTCGATTCATCGAAATCATTCCATTCTTGTAAATTAGCAAATTATCTAAAAACTCAGTGAGTGCCTGGGAGTCATCCTGTAATTGACCACCATTACCCTTAACAGCCTCGAATAATTTCCCTGCAATCATCGAAGGTCTTCCAAACCTTTGACGTAATATGCTCATAGCCTCGTAGTAGCCCTCTTTTGGCTTCATAAACTTACAACACTGTATAGCTCTTGCAGCATCTCCAGTGCAATATCTCATCAAATACATCAATTTCAATTCATCATTTAATAAAAAACCACTCAACATGATCTCAAACTCCTTTACAAATTGTAAATAATCAGCCGGGTTTCCATCAAAACATCGTGGTTCTAATTTGGGGAGTTTGATGTTCCTATTATCCCTGAACGGCGAAACAGTAACATCAACCATATCATGTTTAACATCAGACACATCGTTACAATTAACAGACAAGTCACCATGACTTACTTTCCTGTTTGCATCCAAGACACTCTGTCCCTTCTTTGACCCAGGCATTGTTGAACTTGACCCAATTCCAAAAAGGTTCCAGATATTGCTTGTTCAAAGAGGACTTGACCGGCACCAGGAAAGATGAACGGTGACTATCCAAACTTTCACCAACTGTTTCAATCCGCCAGATCTGTTTCCATCGTCAGAAACTGTCATCAAGTCTCATAAACCGTTAATGCCCAGCTCTCGCTACGCTCGGGCCCACGCTGTTCTTCGAAGATTTCTCAGAAACGCTTAGTTATAACGGACGAAAAAACCAAAACACCGATCTGCCGTTTGATATTTTGTATTGTTACACCAACATATAAAAGGAATAAACGAACTAAGCAACTAAGGTCTGTAAACAAATATTACAATAATAAATCGTTATGTTACTTCTGACGATGTTTCAATCTTCTTTCTGAACAGCGACCGATGAGACGATGACTGTCGTATTGATGCTTCCGCGAAAATCGAGGAAGTTGATTTTGAGCAAACAACCATGAATTGATCGTTCAATCTTCAACTCCATTGACAGGCTTCTTCAACGCACCATTATCATCAAACTATTCGGTGTCAGACTTTGATGACTCTGATTTCACATTTAGCTTCCCACTAAACTTGCTTACTTCATCACAGTTCGCCTTTGTATGCACTTCTTGCAAACAGACGAAAGACGACTGTATTTGTCTTGAAGCTTGTAACCTATCTGTTGGGGACGTCCCACGAAAGCTGTCACAGTCATTAGGTTTGTATGGATTATTAGACGCCATAAAGCTTTGTATACAATTGGTGGATGGTGGCTAGCAGTGGAATCCAGGATGCGCATTTCGTCCTATTTGGGACTCGTCAGCTGGATGTACCTGCATTTCTCAGTGAGTGATGATGTTCCCACTGAGGCTCGAACCCAGTACCCATAGTTTCAAACGCCAAAGCGTTATCCACTAGACCACTTGGGCCACGAGAGCCACCTCTTGTGCGACGGGTCATATTAATTATTGAATTGAATTTTTGATTTTCCCGTCGATTGATTGGACCGAAGTGCTCGGTCTCAGGTTGACATGTCGGCTTCTTGTGCAGATGCTTCGACGATGTCTGGGCATTTAGTTAGTCAAAAATTCAATTCAATAGCCATAAAGCTTTCTCGACATCCACTTCTCTGAGACTCTTTCGTCATAAATGATTGCGTTTTGCTCTCAGACTTCCATATTCTGGGGGTGGGGTGCAGTATACTGGCAACCTTTCTCATAGATTGATTGACACTTTCTTTTACCAGTTTCAGAATATCATCGAACTTTGGCTCAATACCTTCATCATCTGTACGAGAGCTTATCTTCACCCACTTCCTGGAAGGAGGTCAGCAAATAAACTCTGCGACGATTTTCCAACCCAGGGCGTCAACCTGAGAAGGGTTGTAGGCATACTGCTGTAAGTCTTGTAATTCTTCCAGGTGTACTGTGTCTGTGAGCAGCCCAAAGTTCTTAGATTGTTTTTGTTATTATCTCTCATCTGTCTGTTTTAACTTTTTCTTAAGTACTTCTGAAGTCGTTTCTAGTCTTCTAATCTTGTGAACGAATCGAACGGTGTTCGGAGCCAGAGTATGCGATTTGATACTCCAAGGAGGGGATTTCGCCAGAGCGATATGAAGCAACCATCGCTCCGTGTACAAGATCAGTTTTGGTACTGTCGACAGAGCGCAAAAGAAAGTTCCGATCACTTAGAAGATCCCACACGCCGGGGAGAGCGTACTGGTATGGTGTGGTATGCTTGTCGTGTGTTGGTCTTTTTTGTCTTGCTTTTCCATTTTTGCCTAGTCCCGGTTTTCCCAGGTTCCCGCTTTGGCAGTTCAGTTCGAGGTTATCATAGCTATGGAAAAGGGGATGGACCCCTTTTGCCGGGAGTGTCAATGGACGAGAACGTTGAACGTTTGTTTTCGGAACTGGTAGCCATTGGTGGGCGACTCGACGGCGCGAATGGTTCGATCGTGTACAAGTTCGATGAAGACGAACAAAAACGAATAAAAGTACGCAATAATTTTGTATAAAACATTTGTTTATAGACTTGTATTATTCCCCGCTTTAATTGCCAAACAGCATAACTTCCTTCTTACAATACCGGTGGTTTGGAGTTAAAGTCGAAGAAAGTACATAGTATTTATCGGTGCGGAGCGTCGTCATAACAATAGGAACTATGAGATAATTTCCTTGAGAGTCGATAACCGTCACATGGCCTTCTGTCATGCTCAGGCTTAGTTTCCATGTGTAAGGGTGAACACGAAGTGCCATTGGAAGGTCTGATGATACCGAGCTGCATAATGTGTTCAAATTCTGGCTTTTCTGCTGCTAATTTCTCAGGGGGTAATCTACGGGGACTAGCACGAACCGGTTGACCCGTGGTAACAATTTTGTTAGAGACTGTATGGGGTAAGTCCTTGATGTTATACGACGGGTTAAGTGTTCTAGGGACACGATGGAGTTGGGCGGAAAAGATGCAATCTGCTGGTCTTTCGATGCTGATAATATAAACGGAGTAACTGGAGATGATTCCATGAATTTTTGGTTGGGTGCTGTTATCAATCAGTTTTTTATTGTTTACATCAATTGAAATTACGTAAGAAATCAGCCCCAAGCATGGCATGACCCACGTCGGCTACTATGAAAATCCATGTAAAACGCCGACGTACACCTAGATCCACTATAAGGGATTGTTCCTCATACGTCTGTATGCCTGGGTGGTTGGCTGCCCGGAGAGAGTTTTCCTGGTGTCCATGTAGACCGCCTGGATAGTGAAGGGGGTTATCGCGCTAACTTCTGCTCGTGAGTCTACCAGGAATAAGGTGTCTGAAGTTTTGTCCTTCACATATAAAAGTCGACTTGTTTGCTTGCCAGTAACAACTGTCGCCATCACTGTCTGGCTGAGACGTTTCCCTGCCTGATTGTCTTCACAAAGACGCACGGTTTGACACATTCTAGGGCATGACGTCCGAACTTCTTATGGTATCAGTATATATTACTGTCCCTAACAGATATGCTGGAACGCTGCCGGGAGAGAGATCGTCATTGTAATTGTGACCTTGTTTGTAACTCCGTCTCTGGACTCGTCGATCAGACGTATTAGTTTCCAACCTGTCAATCCTTTTCGCTAAGTCTGCAGTGGCGGCGATTAGTGGTGACGGCATCATAGGTATGAGAATGGTGGTCCAAAGGGGAGAGCAAATATTAGACCACAAAAAATTACAATGAAATTAAAAAATGGCAAAAATAAGTACATGAATATGCCCAAATAATCCGTGTCCAAAACGAGCTCACCAATTTATTTGTAGGGGACTGCCAGGAGAGCTCATTAACATTACAAATGTGCGAATAAAAATCCAGGTCAATGAGATTATGGAGTAACAACATATTATCAAAAAATGTAGTAATGCGTTATATTAATAAAAAGGTTACTTGGATATAGTGGTAATTTCCGCTGCTACAAATTATTAATATAATCTACGGGAGCGTTCACTGTTGGAACTGCGTCTGCTGGTAGATGCTGTGGACCGGTTGTAGAGTTGTCTTCGGATAAGGATAATAGACTCCTGCAATAAATCCGAAGTATACAACACGGTATGAGTAGAGCAAGTAAGCAGTAATGGCCAGGGAGAAGGTGAAGCCCCCAACAGTATAGTGTATTTCGAATTGTACACGTAGGTTATATATCTTTAAACAAGAATCGTTTTAGACCAAAATCATGTACAATGTCTCTAATTTCAACAACTAAGAAAAGGCGTACAATCACATTATTACGTAATCCACAGAACCACTTCGTATTGATATCTGTTCTTAACTGACCAATATGGAATTCCGGAAAGGGTTTATAAGCTTGACGAAAATGGAATGAAAACAGAACCCAGTCCTGACACTTTTGAATTAATTCGTCTCATCCAAATTTCATTCATCGAAGTCACTTCCAGTGACAGACTGAGCGGAGGATCAGTTTGTCTTATATTTCCTTGATGTTCATTGGATCTCCGAAGGACTGACGTGGAGTTCATGTAAGGATATAGTTGCATCATGAGAAAGACCACCTGCTTCACTTGATCGTCTCCGCGCGCGTAGAATGTTTAAAAGCGCTGTAAGTTCATGGTATGTTAATTTATGTTGTAGTTCTTCTTTACTGTTGGATTTTACTGTGGAGTTTTGTTTCAAAATAAGTATAAGGTAAAGATATTCCGGAATTTCAATGACTTTTTTAGATTGAGAATGTGGCCAAGCCAACGGAACTTGGTGAAAAACTTTTAACGTATGTACAGGAGTTACTAGAACAAAAAGGTGGACGGAAATAGCTGCATGTAACGTCTCACAGATATATGTTTCTGCTGGATGCATATTTGTACTCTCAGAATGAAGAAATTTAGTTCTAAATACTTCATCCTGTTACTTCTCCTTTTATGTCCCTGCCGCATGTTCATTTTGCCTAAAAATATAGGAAATATATCGTCAGAAAGTGCATTTTTCATTTCTAATTGGCTACTCAGTGCTCATAACTTTTCAGTTGTATCTGATCCACTTGTAGATGATGTTGATTTAGATGGGAAAGTTGATGTTTATTTTTCTACAGTAGATGGTACACTTTATGGTATCAAAAATGTTTTCAAATGTATCACAGAAAGAGCATGTACTGCATATCATGGAAACTGGCCTATAATGCACACCAATGAAATATTCTTCTCACCTCCTCATCCAGTAAGTTGACACATGCTGTTCATCCGTATAATCACTTTCTTAATATAGTTTTACCTTGTACCAGTGCTCTAGACAATGTCTCTAGGATAATCGGCACTAATAATTCATTCGCACAAAATTTTGACTTCTTTCAGTTTTTATCGCTATCCAAATATGTTTTTCAGTTCAATCTAGGTATGCAAAGTCTGTGCAGCTTTCGGTTAATATAATTGTAATTATTAATACAATTATTTTAATTTTGAAATTCGTTCAATAATAAATACCGAATATGCTCTGTGGTTTATTAACATCTAGATTTCACTTGTTTTCAACACTGTTCAAGAGATACTTTACCTTCTGCGCTTTGTAGTGTCTTAATCTCGAGGTTTCTACATTTAGTGCTTTAACCTGGTCAATACTCTAATATATGGTGGCGAAACTATAACGTGTTTTGTCTTAAAATGACGTTTTCTGTACGTAATTGAGGCGAAGTAGTGATGGATGTGATGTCGTTTGACTTAATTTTCTCGATCCTGAAGACTTTTGTGTATCTCAGTAAAAGTATTTCATATGATATCTGGTATAGACGTGATATCCGACTATCGATCAAACGACATGCACACTCCGCAGAAGTTCTCTCTGTCCACCTTTATGACTGTGAAAAATGGCCATTGGGATTGGAAGATATTGAAAAGGCTAGCTGTCTGTGGTCATATGCCTGCGTTCTATATCTCATGTTAAACGGCATAATTTTGTGACTAATATTGGGGTTATACGTCGAATGTTAGGTAAAGACAGCAAGTCAATTGACAGGGTTGTAAAGCCACATTGATTAAGTTAGCTAGGGCAGGTGTTACATGTGCCTAACCATCAATTTTTCTACAGATAATGCTAGGTGACATAGGATCAAGTTGGTGAAGAGCTAGTAGTTGTCAAAATAGAACTTGGAATCAGTCCATAGAATCTCTGACAGTTGGTTTGAGCCAGCAATGTAGGGGTGTGTGTGGCTAGCATCCTCAGGATTCTAGAAACTAATGGTTGACGACTGTCTGTAATGTTGCTTATAATAATTTTTAATGGCGAAAATGTATCCACTCTCTGTGATCTGCCATATTCATCGGTATTTTTGATTGGACACTAGTCAGTAGCTAGTAGCTAATATGTCTAGTCCTATCTTCTGTGCAGATTGAATTCTACCAGTCAAGCTTGCAATGTGGCCACCATATGAGCCTGAATAGTTCAATAGTAACGTCTCTGACTGCTGGCGGCACTGGATGACACTGGCTCGAATTTCAGAGGGGTGGGACATGAGTTCCTTCGAGGTTGCAAATACGTCTTGTTAGTGAGTCCCAATTAGCACGAAACCTAGATCCAAGGCTTTCTGTGGCTGATTGCCTCCAGCCATGTGATACTAACAATATCCATCGGTTACTATGCATTCTTCCGTGCATTTCTGCTCATCATCATTTTTGCTAATCTCTCTTTTCCTCTCTTTGTGTGCTACATGAAGCATGGCAACTCAGACTGCTGCACTTCTGTGCAAAGTTGTAGGTTAAAACCGGCCAATCAGTCAATACACCATTGGGGAGCAAAATATTTTATGAAGGCGCTGTTTCAGCAGCTGTATTTATATCTTGAAAAATATCTAAACTATCTCTGGATAAAAATGACTTTCTGTTTCTGGGTGGGGGGGGGCATTTCTGGCTAACACACCTCACTATCCTTAATACAGTGGCTATGCTAATCTTAAGGTGTTCCCTCGTGTGACATGGCTCAAAATCGTTGTCAATGGAGCAGATGTATTCAGTCTCTGTAATCTTTCATATTCCTTTCTACCATTACCCATTCTGTTTCACTCTTATACTTGTCAAACTCTATTGATTCTCTTCACTCATCTTCTTGTCTACCTCTGTGTGCTATTTGGAAGGTGGCAACTCGAAGTGCTGCACTTCGGTGCCAAGTTCTATGTTGAATCCAGACAGACAGACTCGTGTTATAAGTCGAATAGAAACCCGCCAGTGTGGTTTTTCAGATTGTTCACATCTGTGAAATTTATATGAGGTATTGTCATTAAGAGGAGTTTTCAGTGTGCATGCGTCACAGAGCACTGGCAGATTGTTTAACTGAGATCTTTCTAAATTATTTAAAAAATATGCATTACCAGCTATGTGGCAACTAATCTATCAGTTAAAATAATGAGCTTGATAACTCCATAGTATAATTTTGTTTAATTCGGTGGATATGTATGACTGTGGTGGCCACATTGCAAACCTGACTGACTGACTGATAGAATTCAGTCTGCACCAAACGCCAAGGACTAAAAACGTCACACTAGTTACTAGTATCCAGTCAAAATACGCATTACAGCCTTACATGAAGTCAGTCGCAAGCCCGAATAGCTTAGTAGTAATTTCTCTGACTGCAGGCAGCACTGGGTGACGCGGGCTAGAATCTCAGAAGGGTTAGATATGAGTTCCTTCAAAGCAGTTGCAGATACGCCTGTCTTGCTGACTGATGAGTGCCAATTAGCACGAAACTTAGCCGGTGTCTAAAGCTTCCTGTGACCGGTCGCCTCCAACTATTTAACATTGTGTATGATTGTAGTGATAGCAAATATAATAGATAGAATGCTTATTTTGGCATTAAAAACACGAAAGCTTGTATCATAAGGTGTGTTGTATCTTATGTAATAACCAGGGGATTACTTGAAAGTTGAAGGCTTAGCTTTTTAAAGTATAGTTCGACTCCACATAGATTTCGCCACATTCTGACATTCTTTTTCTGTCTTCCTGAGGTTCCATTTATGTGCTATTTTAAAAGATGACTGACTGGCTGAATTTCAGCACAGAACATTGCACAAAAGTTCAGCATTTGGAGTTGCTACATTCCATGTGGCACATAAAGGTAGACGGAAGAGATAGGAAGGTTCCATAATAAGCAGAAATAATAGTAACATAGAAAAGTTCCAGGGTTTAATTGATATATGGGATAATAGAGAGTAAAGGCATTTAGACCTAATGAAAAGAATTTTGAACTATATCATCTTGAGTCTCAGGTCATTCGTTCTTATAATTCTTGCGATCTCAACTAGGCAGTTTACACTCCAAATCACCAGTCAAGCATTTCATGGGATGATTCCGAGTTTTGGTTTAACCACTCTTAACTCTTTTCGAACACAGTCGTATGCCAGTTAACATTCCTCTAAGAGGAAGGTGGTGGTTGGAAATGCATGACGGCGTATCTCTTAACCATGTCAATTTATGTAGCTTCACAACTTTGTCGATTAACTTGCCCTCCGTACCTACCACTCTACAGGCCTCCAAAGCCTCAGGATGGTCGGGGGTGGGTGCCTTGCGCTGCGGGTTGCCACCCCTCCGTACACCTCTTGAAATGCTCCCGTATGACCGGGCGTCTTACATAGCCTCTCCTGAGGAAGTCCTACTCACTGCCTTCACGTGGCGGAGGTGTTTTCACCGAAGTGAGAAGGCAAAAGCGGATGCCCGGCGCTCTTCACCGGGTTGACTGTCCATTGGATGACGGTCTAGGGGAGATGGCTAAACCCTGATTCCAAACCTCCAACGACTGGCGTATGAAGCTCACTGGAGCTCACCGGCAGACGTATGGACAAAGGGCTTATTGGATGCCCTGGATGTCTGGGCTCATTCAAAAAGGCGTATGAACCGGACTCCGGTCACCGGCTTCCAATGGATAGTGGACTCCCTACTCCATTCCTACTGCCTTGTAGGTCACACTTGGTTGTGTAAAGGCTAGAACTGCACTCTCAAACAAAAGGCCGAGCGATGCTGGGGACACCACTCGTACCTAATTCCCATGAACTATGTTCATGAAGACGGCTCATCCTCCCGTAGGAGATAGCCGAAGTAAAGTAAGTAAGTTAACGTCGACATATTACCCACTACATTACACCATATAACCCAGGAGATAGAAAGCAAGTATCTTTGTTCATATACAACTAGCCTTTTCTCATCTTTCACTCCCAATGGCCATGTCTCACAGCCATAAAGATAGAAGACCGAACTGCTGAGCAGCACACACGTCCTTTGATCGATAACCAGATATCATGTCTATGCCAAAGATGACGTTAGTTAGCAAATGTCACACAATCCTTTTATATCTGTACCGAGATTTCTTCATCATCCAGTCTTTTCGAGCTGATGATTAGTCTGCAATCAAATTAACTAAAGATAACGTGTTAGATGTTGTCTTCGAAGTCCTACCTTCATTCGTTGAAATGCCTATTTGCGATTCATCAGATGGATGTACCTGCATTCCCCAGTGAGTGACGGTGTTCCCACAGAGGCTCGAGCTCAGTGCCCACAGTTTCAAACGCCGAAGCGTTATCCACTAGGCCAGTTGGGCCACGAGAATCACCTTTTCTGCAGCTGGTCTTGTTAGTTATGTAATTCAGTTTGGATTTTCCCGTCGATTAATTGTCTCCAGCCACTGATATCGCGTCAGGCTGGAAAAGAGCTAGCGGTGGTCAAACCAAAACATGGTTTCATCAGTCAATGAAATCCACAACAGTTAGTTTAAGCCAGTCAGCCACGTGGGAAGGTGTAGATTGGCGCTGGGTTCAGGGTGATCAAGAATGCTCTGACCCCGGGTGGACACTCACCATTGCACCTCGGTGGGTTGAAACTCGCGACGGACCCTAATCGGGTGAGCTCGGGCGTGTAGTTTTTATCAGTGCTAGCTCCTTTCCAACTTCATCCATCCATGCTATATCAGCGGTTACCATTGCCCATTGTCGAGGAATGCGATGGATGTTTAGGAATGCCTGCGTAACGCATGTCCTAACCATCTTTCTCAATGGATGCAGATGCTTCCTGACATCGTCGATTGATTTCGCCTCTTTATCTAGCACTCGACTGATGCCTAACCTCAATATTGCTCACCTTATTATACTGCCATGTAACACGTGAGATAGAGCGTAGACATTTGTGATCAAAGACAGCTAACTAGCTAGCCTTTTTGTATCTTCCACTTTCAATCACATTGTC